CATGCTGGCTGGGGTATTCTGGGAGTTGAAGCCCACACATCTTCAAGCTGGGGAATTCTGGGAGCGGAAGTCCACATCTCTCCAAGTGGCCAAGGCTGAGGCACACTGTTTCAGAATGCCCCATCCCAGAATACTCCATTCCACCTCTCCCATCCGTTTCCTCCAGGTTTTTATTTACTTGATTGATGGATATGGCCACCCGTCTTATCAAAAACAGTTCAGGGCAGCTCACGAAATAATAAAAGCATAAACAAGAGAAACCAAGTGCGCGCTCCATCATCTCTGTCCATTCATCAGTGCCGTCCCCAGGTGCCAACCTTACTATTCCAGGGGCCTGGAGGAAAAGCCAGCTCTTTACCGCTTTCCAGGATGGGGGGCTGATGAATTTCAAGGGGAAGAGCAGGGGCTGCGTTGGAAAAGCTCCGTCCGAGGTCCCACGAGATGGCAACATTTAAGGGAAGGGAGCTGGAGCGTGCCCCCCATCCGATCCCTCCCAAGGGAAAGACGCTCCTGCAGATAACCTGGCCCTGTGCCATTCAGGTCTTTGAAAGTGATAACCAGCCCTCTGGATTGCCCCCCAAAAGAAACTAGATGCCAGCACAATTCATGCAGCAATCTTACTATTCTACCGTATAGAATAGTATATTCTATATAAACCTGGAGGAAACGGATGGGAGAGGTGGAATGGAGTATTCTGGGATGGGGCATTCTGGAACAGTGTGCCTCAACCGTGGCCACTTGAAGAGATGTGGACTTCCACTCCCAGAATTCCCCAGCTTGAAGATGTGTGGACTTCAACTCCCAGAATTCCCCAGCCAGCATGCCATTTCTATGTGGTGGTTTGGGGTCTTCTTCGGTAACAAACCCCTCATTCTTGGCACAGCCCAAGAGTGCCCCTTAAAAGGCATGGTGAGTTGGCTCCATACTTAGAGGTCTGAATAAATGGAGTTTTGTATGCTGGTCTACGACTGTAATAAGGACTGGTTTGATCTGAATGGAGTTTAACATCTCCTATATAATCCCATTTCTACAATAGGCCAGCTGAGGAATACTAAGTTGTGTATTTATCATTCGTCCGGAAGGCTTAGGAAGCTGGACTCAGGCACTAGATAATTTTTGATTTGCCAGCTAGACCCTGGTCATCAGCAAAGGAGCACCTTCCTTAATTGGGTAAAGCATCTTGCCATAGAGCAGTGTTTCTCAACCTTGACCACTTGAAGATGCGTGGACTTCAACTCCCAGAATTCCTCAGCCAGCATGGTTGGCTGGGGAATTCTGGGAGTTGAAGCCCACCCATCCTCAAGTGGTCAAGGTTGAGAAACACCGCCATAGAGTCTGGCTTTCACTTATCTTTCACATTTTATGAAACTAAATTTAGAGGAAGGAAGGAAGGAAGGAAGGAAGGAAGGAAGGAAGGAAGGAAGGAAGGAAG